AATTTGCATAGCAAAGTGTCTTCTGTAGGTAAGATTCATAAAAAATCTTGTTAGGAGATAACGCTAGAATAGCAAGTTAGGGGAAGGTGGTGAAAGTTCAAACCAGGCTAAGAAATTCACACATTAGTCTGCAGGGCAAGAGGTGTTACTGCTTTTGAAGAAGGAAGGGATGTGATTGATTAGAGGTCAAGGTTTTCAGCTTTTGTCACAGTGTTGAAGGATTGAAAAGGTCAGAAAACTAAAACCACACAATCAGTGTACAAGCTATTCATTGGCTGAAGTGAGAAGCCTGTTTCAGAGTCCTGACATTTATAAATGTATGCATGTAGTGAATGCAACATCCACAGGATAGCCTGTCTGCTTCTTGTACTATTGATAACCACTAAGAAGACAACAATGTACAATGTATTAATTATTGAAACTGTCCTATTAATCAGCTTTGAAACTGTCTCATTGATATTTGTTTCTTAATAAAATAAAATTAAATTAACTTTAAAAATAAAATTTTAAAAATAAAATAAAAATGCGACACTCAACCAGGCATGCTGGTACACACTGTAATCCCAGTGCTTGAGAGGCTGAGGCAGGAGACTTGCTGTGAACTCAAGGCCAGCTTGGGCTAGGTAGTGAATTCAAAACTAGCCTGAACTAGATACCAAGACACTGTCTCAAACAAAACAAAATTAAAAAAAATATATATGACACCCTAATATGACAAATGAGGAAAAATAAACCAGTTTACCTTTTGATTTCTTTTGAAGTGGTACCATGGTACACGTCTTCTTAGTCTTCTTTATCCTAAGGATTATATATTATTATAAATTGCTCATATATAAATCTAGAATATGTATTCACTTTAAAAGATACAAGAAGAGGCAAATAAAGCCAGGCATGGAGGAACATGCCTGTGATCCCAGCACACAGGAGGCTGAGGCAGGAGGATTGCTATAAATTTCAGGCCAGTCTGGGCTACAAAGTGAGTTCAAGGCTAGGCTGATCTACATGGTGAAACCCTGCCTCAAAAAGACAAAAATGAAGGATGAGGAAGGGGAGAAGGAGGAGGAGGAGGAGGAGGAGGAGGAAGAGGAGGAAGAGGAGGAAGAGGAAGAAGAGGAAGAGGAAGAGGAGGAGGAAGAGGAGGAAGAGGAGGAGGAGAAAGAGGTAAACCACAAATATACAGTGAAACACACTTAGTGGTCTTGATTTTTGTTTTGCTGGGGATCAAACAGCAGACTTTGAACATGCTAAGCATAAACTCTCCCACTGAGCTACTCCCCAGCCCTAAACTAATTTGCTCAAGGATCTCAAGTGGAAATGACATAAATGGGTAAAGAAATTCTCCATTATAGTTAATCCAATCAGAAAACAGTGCGAGCACACGGCTGTTGGCCACCACTTGAAGCTTCTACAACTGTTCATTAGAACTCCTTGTGGGCACAACTCAAGCACTGGTAAAAAAGGTAGGAAACCAATACTAAGAAGTTCCGTGCATGCCAAACATCAATTATTCCTTATTTGTGTATTTTTAATCTATTGACCACTACAATCTGAAATTCATTATCATTTTCTTTTAGGAAATTTTTATTGGGAGTAAGGAGAAGAAGCACAGCTCCTGGACCTGCAGGAAGGGCCCCAGTGGGTTGGCCCTCTAAATAACTTGGGCTCCTACTGAAATAGACCTTCATATTAACAAGATTATTAGGGGAAACCATTCTGTAAAAGTCAGCAGCAACTTTTAAATACTCTTTACCTCTGAGATTGCTATCATTTATATTCCCGTAGTGTGCTGTGAGATTCCCTGAAAATTCTTGATGACCACTGAGAAATCTGAGAAATCGGGACACTTTTGTCAGCGTGTTTAAATCAAATATTCATATATGGAGGGAGGAAGAGAGATTAAGGGGTTTACACACAGAGCGAAGCACAAACAGGAGGAGTCTTCCCTCCGGGGCCAAGACTGGTCTTTCAGGGGTGCTGCTCAGTGCCCCGAGCGGAGTGAAGCGCTTGCAGCAGCTCGCTGTGTTCTGGCGAGAAGGGCTGCTCTGGAGACGCGGTGGGAAGAAAGCGCGGGCGTCCCAGGAACACGTCACGCACCCTGAGTTATGTAGTCACCACTGTTCCGCTTTACATATGAGGTACTCTTGTCATCACACGAGTGAAGTGCGCTTGCATTGCCCTTCATGCAAGTCCATGTAAAATGTTTAGAAATAATCCCCCCACCCACCCACCCCCCGAAAAAAATCACAAAGGTAAAACAAACACAACAGCGTGGAAACAGCAAGAAGCAAAAGGAAGACTCACAACTAGGAGGCCAAATGGGCTCGTTCAAGGGGTTCTTCCCACACTTCCAGCTTCTCTACGGTGCTGCGATCATGTTGGAGGAAGGCGACAAGAAACGGAGGCGGCCACCACAGCCTTTACCCTGCGCTGCGCTCCTCCCAAAGGCTGCCTTGGCAGGAGGCGTCTTGGTGACAGTGTGGCCTGCCTGTCCTCAGCAGGCTTCATGTTCGTGGTTCAGATGGTTCCCCTTCTTTCCTTGCCATCCTTCCTCTTCGTGTGTGTGTGTGTGTGTGTGTGTGTGTGTGTGTGTGTGTGTGTGATTGCAGACTGAACTCGGGGTCCTCACACACTCGGGGTCCTTTTTAAAATTTTTTTTTTTTTTTGAGATAAAGGTCTCAGTAAATTGCTAAGCACCCCAGATTTGGTTCAAATTTTCATTTGTCCTGCCTCAGCCTCCCAGAATGCTGGGATTGTGGGCATGCTCCAGCACACTTGACTAAGCAGTACGAAAGTCCACCAAAATATATATACATCAGGTAAAGAAAAACTTGTATAAATATTTTTGTGTAAATATTTTAACACTAAATTTATTGAGACACCATGAGCTCAATACAAGTCACCTTTGGCCTCTACAATTACAAAGGTGCTCAGAGCGGTGGCCACCAGCTTCCAGATGTTTGTTGGTGTGGCAAACTGCTGGACTGTATAAACATGTTTTGGCAGACTCCACATATTCTAAGATTCCAGTCATGAATGCTATGTATAGTTGGATGACTTTAAAGTTAGTTATAGCAGGAAGATAACATGAAAATACAAATACTCCCCTAAAGAAAGTTGCAATTTGGAATGTCATGATTACTTCTAATCTTTAAGGCTGGCAAAGTGAACAAGTAGTAGACATTCAATAACTAGCTGATAGGTAAATAAATTGATTCTGAACAGAATATGAGACTATCAGCTATAACTTATAAATATGTCTTTTTGAGAAAGATTTTCTTTTACTGGTAGCCTGGTCTGATTTATGGTAAGTGGGAAATGTTTCTAAACAGCAATATTCAAAGTCAGGGAGACTTCTCTAGCTGAAAAATTCATTCCTGGTAGTCAGTGTTGAGTTCTAATTAGGCCGGGATCTCATTCACAGTCTTCCCTATCACTGCTTCAGCCATTCTAGAACTGAAACACAAGATTTGGTACCTGGGAGACAGAGACCTGTTATGCTGCAGAGTTAAAACTGCTCGTGCTAAATATTCCTGTGCTTTCCCAGGCATGATTTAGGCAAAGGCAATTAGGTTTTTTTAAAGGAAGTCTTTAATTCTTTTCTGGTGACATCACTTGAAAACAGAGAAATGTGACTATTTGTCAATCTGAATAAAATGGCTAACTTAAATTTTATGAATTAAATCTGTTATAGAAAAAACAATGGTAGGCAAGAAAGAGTTACACCGTTGGCCAGAACGACATCTACATTCAGCAGTACTGCTACAAACGGACACTCCACAACCGTTGACTAGCAAGGCTCTACCTGCTTGCAGGCATCTCCAAGTGAGCGTGTGGTAGCTGTTTGTGAGCTTCTGTTGGAGCTGAGCTTACGCTCTTTGGGCAACTTGGTAATCTTGGTAAATGTGGCATTTTGACATGTTCTTTAGGCTCTTCTAGACCAAATGTTGTGGTGTATTCTAATTAAAAAATATTATCACAATTACCTTGGTCAAATATATACTATGTCTTTTACTGTATACTGAAATGAATAATAAAGTGTAACAAATCAATCATTAAGAAAGTCAAACAACTATTATTTATCTAGGATCTTTCCCAGAAGAATATCTTTCAAAATTTACCAAACACACTGCAGGAAGAAGAAACTTAAGCTGATTAAGAACTAGAATAAGGAGGGCTGGCCAAATAGCTCAGCGGATTAAACCGCCTGCTTAGGTAGATACAGGGACCTAGGGTTTGATCCCCAGGTCTGCTGTGCCAGCCCTACCCTCGGACTGTACTGAGAAGGCAATTGAGACTGGGTGTGGTGGCATGCTCCTGTAATCCCCCCCCCAAAAAAAGAAATAGAATAAAGAAAAAATGGCAGTTTCCCAGATCTTCAATCGACACTGTCCATTGCCTTTATTATTTTATTAAAATAGAATTATCCAGAATATGAGCTTCATATGTAAATATAAAGCACCTTCAAGAGTCATAGAGGTGGGGCTGGGGAGATAGCTCAGTGGCTTAAGCGCCTCTCTGGCAAGCTCAAGATCCTGAGTTCAATCTGTGGTATCAACAACAAAAAAAAAGCAATAGAGGTAAAACAAAACAAAGCACATAGAGGTAAGGAAGATAAATTTTACATTTCTTTTACTTATATTTATTTGTATTACACTAAAATATTTTTAAAATTTAAAAAGTAAGTATTTCAAAAAAAAAAGGTCTTGTATTATGTACTACCACTAAATCTTTCTACTTTTCTGTTTTGATGTAAATAAATAACCCAGAGGTATAAATGTATGATGAAAGGGTGAGCCAAATAGCTCAGTGGATTCAAACACCTGCAAGCAGGCACAGGGGCCAGGGGTTCAATCCCAGGGCCTGCTGTGGGGGCCCTACCCTTGGGGCACACTGAGATAGCAATTGAGACTGGGCGTGGTAGTACTAGCCTATAATCCCCGCACTTGGGAGGCTGTAAACAGGTGGATCACTACGAGTCTGATCTAGTAGTGGGACCCTGAATACCCTGTAGACCCTTCCCTAAAATACAAAAAAAAAAGGGGGGGAGGGGGCTGGGGAGATAGCTCAATAGAATAAGTGCTTGCCTGGCAAGCGCAAGGGCCTGAGTTCAATCCCTGGTTCTGCAAATAAAAAAATAAAAATAAAAATAAAATAAATGCATGATGATCTGAGCTAATAGGAGATGCTGTCCCAGTTAGTGACCACAGTGCAGTGCAAGGGATGAGAGACTGCTCCTTTAAACTCCAAGATAGCACAGAGGGCTGCCTTACCTGAGACCGCTCAGTGTGAGTCTCAGGGAAAACCAGCCCCAACCTGAAGCTTTGTGGCTCTTTTCCGATAGACCCAGGAAGCAGGGATGAAGATAAAAGAAGATATCTATGTGGGAATTCATGTAGGGGACAGGGTGGCCTGCTATGTGACTGACCTTAGGGCCAATCTAAGTAATATATGGGAAGGAGAACAAGGGCCAGAGGGCTCATTCTTTAAGGCAATGTGTTTTGATTCTACTTGGACTTGTGGTCCTGTCTGCTATCTTTTAATCTTTATACATTCCAGGAGGTTTGGGACTTGGGGCCCCAGAAGTCCCTTATCTCTGCTTATCTGTGACCAATGCCACCACAGGACAAAAAGGATTTTACCTTAAGCATTAATTTTCTCTCCACGAAAAAAAACTGGGGAGGGTCTTGGATTTGAACTCAGGATCTCTTGTTTGCTGGGCAGGTGCACACCTTACCCCCCAAAATTTTATACTAAATTGAAAAATAGCAAAATTTAAGTACTCATATTTCATCTTCTACTAATCTTACATATCAATAGACAAAGAGATGATCGAATTATTTTTTAAAATATAAAACAAAGGCATTAAATGGATACAGCAGAGTAAGATAGTACAGTTTGTGGTCTGTACACAGAGAACACTGCTTCGGTGGGCTTCTTCCCCAAGGCAGGCCTGCACTACAGCACAGCACTTGCTGAGACTGGCGTTATCATGTTCAACATTCAAAATGCGACTATGCAATCTTTGATTTTCTTCTTTTCTGTAAAATAGTCTCAGAAACACACACTTGGGCTAGGGAGACAGCTCAGCTATCTAAGCTTCTGGTCTGAGCTCCTGCCTGGCAGGTGCAAGGGCCCTCGTTCGATCCCTGGTACTAGCATGCGGTGCCAGCCTTGGAACTCCAGGCCTGCTGCACTAGCCACTGAAACTGAGCGTGGTGGCTCACGCCTGTAATCCCAGTGCTGGGGAGGCTGAGACAGGAGGATCACTACAAGTCTGAGCTGCATAGTGAGGCCCTGTACCAAGTAAATAAAGTAAAAAAGAGAAAAATCTAATCAGAAACACACATTCACTTTTCCACATCAGATTTGGAGAGTCGGAGCATGAATCGACTAGTGTCTTCTGAGTATCCTCAACGGGAACCTCATGAGAAAGCTATTTTAAAAAATACACAGCACCCACCCCCATGAGGAAGAAGTGGCATACCCTGGCATCCCAGCTCTCTGGGAGGCTGCAGCATGAGGGGCCCAAGTGAGCACAGCTTTGGAGACTCAGACTTAGAGACCCCACCTAAGACAAGGGCGGCGCTCAGTACAAAGGCGTTGGGCTCAGTACCAGGCCAGGTAGTGCAGAAGCAAAACAACGGATGCAGTTGTGACTTGGAATTTTGCTACTTTCAAGAATTCTATTTCCACAACAAACCAGAAGGCAGAATTCAAAATAAGCAAAAAATACAATCCCAAACTGAAAGTAAAGGAGGAAACTGTTTTTAATTGAGCAACTGTAGGATATAAGATACTCTCCAGATGACATATTCAAGGCACTGCTGAAGATTTATTTGGGTGCTTCAAAATATAAAAATTAGGCCAGGGATATACCTCAGCAGCACAGCATCTGCCTTACAAGCATGAAGCTATGAGTTCTATTCCTGGTACCCAGAACAAAAATCAACATAAAGACTAACTTGAGGTATATAAAAAGGAAATAGTGCTTAGGAAAAAGAGCATGATCCAACAGACAGTAATGAACCGAATATTCAGAAAAGTCTTTTTTTTTTTTTTTTGTCTTTGAGACAGGGCCTCACTATGCAGTGCAGGCTGCTCTTGAATTCACTGTGTAGCTCAGTCTGGCATCGAACTTGCAGTGCTCCTCCTGCCTCGGCCTCCCAAGTGCTGGGATTACAGGTGTGCACCAATGTGCCCAGCTGCAGAGGAGCACCTATTTTTTTTCTTCTTTTTTAGATTCTAGGGCTAAAATCCAGGTGCCCTTCCACTGAGCGACCTATAGCCCCAACCCCAAGAAATCATTCTTTAGCATTTGTTTCTATTATTCACTGAATTAATTTTAATTTGCTTCCATTTTTCTTTTCCAGAAACTTTATGAACTACCCTTGCATAAATGTCATAGAAATAGTAAAATGTCTCTTGACTACTTTAGAAAAGATGTAAATGTAAAGCACTATTTCTATATTATCTTAAAGGAAATAACAGCAACAGTGAAATTACCTTTCCTTATTTTTTGTGTTTCTGAAACCGCTTTCCTCCAGCTATTCTCAAAAGGAAACCCAGAGCCCAGGGAGCTCCCGCTGACTGTGGAAGCCTCGGTCTTCATTTCAGGGCTGAGCGCTGACACTTTGGCCTCTTTCAACAGTGCTGGCGGAAACGAGATGCTGGATCAGACCCAGGACACGAAACACAAAGAAACAAGGCATTGCTTGTGAGTATCTTTTCCCAGTTGCTTTCCATCGTGCAGATTAACTTTTAACTTAGATTTATTTATAACAGGTAAATAAATATGCTTAGCGTTTGAAAACAAGAAGCTTTTAAGAATAAAGTAAAAATATGTAGCCAGAATTTTTCAATTGTAAATACTATAATATTTTAGTGAATTACTTCAAAGTTCAAGTTACAAATATTTGGTAATATAAACAAATGTAAAGTCCAACAAGTTACCACTTGCAAGACAATAGAATGCATAAAATTCTCTCAGAAATACCATTATGAAATGTGTCTATGCCTTAGCAAAAAGGCAAAATCCATGCTCTATGGAAAACAAATATGTTCTCAAGACAGTCATTATTTTTATTCTAAATACAAAGAAGAAAAATCAATCATGTGTCCTACTTACCTAATACATTAAATATATTCAATCTGATCATATCTATTAGATGTCTGTTATGTGCAAAGCATTGCTAAGTTCCAAAAAGAATGTGACCAGGAGCAAAAGCAGCCCCAGCCTTCAGGAGCCCAGTGGGGACAGCAAAGAGGAACAGCACCACAGCCATGATTTACTAAACACCTGTAAATCCTTGCTGGCCATTTCCTGTCCAGTATCTACAATCGCATACGGCCAGGGATGGTCAGATCCAGCTATGCTCTTTCACTTGTGCTGAGGGTTGATTCTTTTTTTTTTTTTTTTTTTTTTTTTTTTGTATTTTTAGGGAAGGGTGTACAGGGTGTTCAGGGTCTCACTACTAACTGTTTACAGCCTCCCAAGAGCTGGGATTACAGGCACACACCACTGTGCCCAGTCTCAATTGCCTGCTCAGCGCGCCCGGGGGCAGGGCCGGCACAGCAGGCCTGGGGACTGAACCCCTGGCCCCTGAGCCTGCTTGCAGGTGCTTTAATCCACTAAGCTAGATGGCTGGCCCTTGAGGGTTGATTCTATACCAAGCATTGCGTGGGGCACTGGAGTATAGCGCTACGCAAGCGGGGCCCTGAGTTCATAGAGGAAACACAGATGAAGAAATGGCTGCTTCGGGGCTGAGGAGATAGCTCGGTGACATAAACGCCTGCCTTGCAAGAATAAGGTCTTCAGTTCGATCTCTGGTATCCTATGCAGTGCCAGCCCAGAACCCCGAAACCAGACATCGTAGCGCACGCCTGTCATCCCAGTGCTGGGGAGGCTGAGACAGGAGAACCACTATGAGTCCAAACCGTGTAGTGAGACCCTATATTAATAAATAAATAATTTCTAAAAATAGATTAAAAAATAGATTTTCTTAAGAAATGAATGATGCAGTATACTAAGTACTATGCAGGAGGGGAAAATCAACAATGCCACGCCTAGGAGAGGCCCCATCCCACCCTTGGCATTAGAGAGGACGCTAAAGCAAAGACACAGAGGAGGTGACAGCTTCTGGTAGAAGAAAAGCCTGCAGAGAGAGCCCTGGGTGAGGAACAGCAGCTCCACGACGCCTTTTCGTCCCGCTGCGTATCATCTGTAGCAAGGAGGGAGAGGAGAGGGAGAAAGGAGACAGTAACTCAAGGGAGAAGGAAGTAGGGGAGGGTCCAGGGGTGATGGGACAGCGCGATAAGCAGGAAGGGAAGAGTGGGATGGGAAGGTGGGAGAGGGGAAGCAGCCCGGAGGTGGGGGTGGGGAGAGGGGAGCCCCCTCCGCAGAGGCCACCCCTGGGGCGCCAGCTGTGTTGGACTGTGCTGATGGTACTTACACCTGGAGGAAAACGGAGCTAAAAATAAAGCAGGGAAAGTGTCTGGCTTTGGTAGGGTGGTCTTGGGCTGTCCTGAAGAGCAGTGCAGCGAGTTACCGGTGCAGACAGGAACAGACTGGAGTGGCCACGGGTGGAGGGGCACCGGGTGACGCGGGCGCGGACAGCGGGACTGCACGTGGCGCCACTTCCCCTACGCCTGCTCCAGCCTGCCCCTGCAAGAGCGCCGGTCCTGGCCCTGGTACTGGCCCAGGCTTCTCCATGTCTAACTTTTTGTTATTTTCATTAGCACACGTTTGTAGTACATGATTACATTCATCTGGGGAGCTGATGCGTACACAACACAATTCTTTGTTTCGGCCCCTGACCCCCCCTGCTGCAACTCCTCCCACTTCCGTAAGCTCTATTTCCAGCTCTTTTTTTCTCTCCCTCCTATCCTCTCTTCCTCTTTCCATCTCTTGTTCCCCTTCCCATTTGAATAAAATCTCCCTACTTGCTAGTCTCTGTTTTGTTTTACTATTTATTTATGTCTTAGGAGTCTCACATAAAAGAAACCACATGATAGTTTAGCTTCATATACACCCTTAACATTATGGTCTTCAGGTGCACCCATTTGCCTATAAATGCTTCAAACTCGTCCTTCTTTATGACAGAGTAGTACTCCATCGTGTATAAATCCCAAATTTTCTTTATCCATCTGTTGATAAGCATCTAGATTATTTCCAAGACTTAGCCGTCATAAATTGTGTGGGTACAAACATGGCTATGTGCATGTCAATGTAATAGGATGGCTTTAACTCTTTTGGGAAGATAGTTAGGAGGGGAACAGCTGGGTCACATGGAATTTC